TTAAACACTGAATTCTCTCACTATTTATATGTTTCTCCAAGCACCATTAAACGGATAACGCTTACAGTGTGCAAATGGGCTACTATTAATCCAAAGAATGCATTAGATATGTCTATGAATATAATAAATACTTTAAAAAGGTTAGATAATTTAATAAAACCAATGAATGATGTTTCTACAACTACTAGATCTCATGATGTGAGTGGAATAAAAATTGATCAATCAATTATGAAACAGTATGACCAACTTGTTAAATTTATGATCATTGAAAGTACAAAATTATGTTTTCCAATTTTTGATGAATTATCTACTGAATATAATAATGATAATAAAATCAATCGGGAAGAATACTTAACATGGAAAACAAAATTAATTAACGCATTATATGATTGGTTTAGTTATGCTGAAAGTCATGAAATGATTACATGGGAATGGGCGATAAAAGGATTATATATTTTATGGAAAGAAGATGATTTAATACAACTGTAAGTTCATTATTCTATTTCATCTTATTAAATGTGTATTTTTAATAGTGATTGTTTTATTAGAAAGTTCAACTTTATACTGGAATTGTATTAGAGTAACTTCCAATTGATTATCCCTGTGTAATTCTGATTTCAAATAGGCTTTCGTTAGTATTAAATTCTTTCCAATGGCTTTTAGAAGGATAATAGATAAGAGATTTTAAAATATATTTATACCATCATGTCTTGTGATTATTATGAAGTAAATTAATACACTCATTTATGATGTAGAGTTTTGTATAGATGGAAATTTGTTCATTGGTTTGTGAATATGAATTATGTATTTTGAACCACCATAGAAAATAAAACGATGTTTTTTTAGTCCAGTGCATAATGGATAACTTTTAAACCTAGGGCAGTAACAGATGTAATTAAGCTGTCACCCAAATTGTATGAACCTGATACGTCACGTTAGTTTAACATACGCTTGTTACCAGTTGTTGGGCATAGGCCTCTCACCAGGATTCTCCAACCAACTTTGTCCTGACCTTTCCTTTACAGTTTTTACAAAGTATCACTTACCCTTTTGATGCCTGCCTCCGATTTCCGGCTCAATGATTTCTTTGGTCTCCCTCTTTTTCTTTTGCCTTGAAGATTCGAGGTTAGCGTTTGCCTCGTGATGCGGTTTGGGGATTTCAGTAAAATGTGTCCTTTCCACCTCCAACATCTTTTTCCATGTGGCCTTGTATATGCATTTGTGGGGAAATACGATTCCACCCATAGGCATTTCATTAAAGGAATATAAATTTGCAAATCTCTCACCATTTTCGTTCCTTCCTTCCAGTCCATTTTGTCCCATGGTGTCGTCATACACGGTATTATCCATTTTGACTTTGGCATCTAGATCTCCCTTCAGAATGGTCGTTTTTTCCCGGATAGTTCTTTACAGTGGATTGCAGCCTCATTAAACTGATCTTTATAATCTCCACTACTCGCATTGGTGTGCAAGTAGCACTGGATGACATTCATCGTAATCCCTTCCTTCTTCTAGCCGTAAGGTTCCCATCCTACAAGTGTTTTTCATGCTTCTTTGGGCAACATCAGTGCAACTCTTTAAGTATGCTAGAAATTTTTTTGTTCGTGACCAGATCACAACGACAACTGTCCCGAAGCTAGTCTTTTCTGTCCAGCTTGTGTCTACGTTGTACCCTTTCACGGCTATTTGAATGGTCTTCGCCGTCTCCCACATTGTGCAGACATTCCGTGTACCTATGCTAATTATTACTCTGATTGTCAGAAGGTTCATAGTTCCCGAAGAATCTCGGCTTTCACCACAAGGCATCGTCAGTCTTCCAAATGAAGGTCCTCCAACTCCCAGTTCAGATGGTTTAGATGATTTTCTTGATTAGCGTTTTTTTCAGCAAGGTTTGTTTCTACAAGATGAGGTTGCTAACCCTATGCCCAACTTTTCTACCACGGCTCTGGACTGACACTAAATCTAGGAGAGCTCCAGATGGGTTTATCACCTTATTTTAGTGATGAATATCTGTCACCTTGTCACTGGTATTCTGATAGTATACTGAGGTTTGCTTATTTTTATTTTTTTCAAAATCAGGGATTTTATGTGGAATGTTATGCAATGTTTGGCGAAACAAAATGTGGAATTCGAAGTTTGCGTTAGAGAACAAAGAGATTTACTAGAACCGATTTTAAACATTCTAGAACAGTCCATTCCAAAAATCCCACAACAAGATATCAGATCAATCGAAAAACTCAAATGTTTACAGTTCCTGAGGAAGGTTCTTAGAGCCACGGAGTCTACAAATATACTACCCTTGTATTCTAGTACGTCTAACCCCGTTGAAATTTGCGCCTATAATTCTCAGTAAATGAATAAATTTGCACACCTCTTACTTGTTCTAAACGACTTTTTGAAATAATGAAATGGTGATGTAAAATTGTATTATGAGCATATTTTGAAAAATTGTAAATACATAATTGTTTGTTTTTTAATACAAATGGTTGATCACCTGCTTTACACGTTGAATTCGAACATTGCACAAAACACTGTAATAGTTGTTAGTATTCATCAAGAAGCTGTTCTTGCTGGTCGAAGCTCATTATCATAGCTTGGTCATAACCTTTGGTAAGACGATTATTTTAGACCATTGATACAGTCAGAAACGCTATTTTTAAGCTACTCGATATAAGACTGATTTCCTATCACACAGGACCGATTTAACTTATATGTCAGTGGAAGATAACTAATAACAACCACCTTCTCTCTGTAGTTCCGTTTTCCTGTCATCGTGATTGGCTGTCCGACATTTATAGCTGGTGTCTTTCGATCCAGCGAAGCGGTTAGTAATGACAGGTTTTAGGTACCAAAAAAACTTGTGTGGCTCACTGTTATCGTTTTGCAGATACGATCAGACGGAAGCTTGACTAGAATATTGAAATAGGCTGTTTGACGTTTATCATAGTTAAATATACAGAGGTAAACCTAAAGTTACACTTCAATCAGCACTCCGTGGCCACGTAGTGGTTGGGGCGTCCGAACAACACCCCACCTACCTCAACATATGCGACTAGATAGTATCATTAGCCCTCACATGAGTTATTTTTCGCTACACTTCAATTGTCCAAGATTTGACTGCAGTCAAACCTCCAACTCTTGCTGAGGTTAAGAAGGCTGCTGTAAATAAAACAAAGCAACAGGACGTGACAGTAATTTGATGGGCTTCGAGTATGGCGTCCTTCAATTTATGGTTAAATTGACATACTGGGGTATATAGTTTGGGTGTATTCTGGTCTTAGTTGGAAGTCGTATTAGTTTGAGGTATGAATTATTTTGAGATAACTAGTTCTAGCATCACAAATCCGTGTTAGTTGGAGCACAACATAATGATGTGGGCTTCAAATATGTATTAATGAGTTCCTCAGATTCTAGATCATTTATCTGATTAAAAGTAGATGAACTTATAAACAGCGTTTAACTCGAAACCAATAGGTAATGTCATGGAGTTGTACTCCATCACGTTGGGCTTCGTTAGGAAGTGTCTTTACTAGTTCTAACTTTTTTCATTTTAGTGTATCCACACATTTGTAAAGTTTGAACATAATAGGTGAAGATGCCGACATTTGGGGACTTCTGCAACTGGCTATTCTTATAAGGGAGCATAATCTGTAAAATACAATATCATAACCTGGAACTGGTTTACACCAACACCTAGCCAACTCAGAAGAAAAACAGAAAAGTTACGTATATGGAAAATAGCTAAACCTGTTCCGTACTTATCAGCCTACACGATAAAATAACTCACATCTTATCACAAGCCATCGGCTAATCTGTATTTAGGAGCTTGTTAATGTTTTAGTGTTGCATATTTAGAAGCGATTTGAAAGTCTTTAAAGTGCATTCAGCCCAACACCACTTATTTTATTTAAATTTAAAAATGTCCAGTGAATCCCGTTGTATGATTGACTACGAACTTTCTTATCACAATGATGGTTTTCTAGTCTATGGATATAAGTGGATGACACGGAAATTCTTTAAGTGTAAAAGAAGAGACAAACTTCCTAGTTTTTTTTATATTATTTAGTCGTTTTCCGAACTGACTTGTGTAAGAAGTTACTGAACACAAAATTTTGTATATAGCTAACCCATATAGACGTTTTATAGAAATTATGCTAATCAAAAACGGAATATTTCAAAGTGAATAACTAAATAGAGACGCGCTCTAACGAACCAATCCAAATGTCTCGCAGAACCTTTTGAGAACTAATTTGACTGGGACCAAAGCAAGATGACTAAAACAGTGTATCAAAACAAACGAACAGAGGACAAATCTCCCTTACTATATGAGATCTGAAGTAACTAGGTCGATTCTTCAGAATGTTGAGTTGAACACATATTCAGTCTAAACCAATTATATTTTACCTAAGTAATTTATATGGCGATCATTTAAGTTCAGCTATAATGTTTTTTACTCAGAAGCCTTAACTTCTAACTTATTTTTCATATGAAAGAACGACCTAGACCGCTTCATAATCACTTTAGTTAGTAAATACTAATGAACTAAAAATGAGATTCAACAAACATGAGTTCTTATAGTATTAACAGCACGTAATATGTGAGGGCCAGTAATACCACTTATCTGATCAAATTTACTCGGAAGTTACAATATCCTAACTTTTGGCCCAGTGATTGATGGGTCACAACCCCACTAGACTAGCATGATATAAGTACGGAAAGCTGTTAGTCGTACGACTACCTAACTGTAGACTCTCACATTTAGAATATTCACTAGTTTTTACACTATCTAATACAGGAGACTAGTATTTGATCGCATACAAAACCACAAATTATTATATACTACAGTAGATTGCATGTTTTGAATAAATGTATTCAAAATTACATTGAGGTTTTTATTTTTAAAATTATAAGCGATTAATAACAAAAATTTGTTGATTCACATATAAAAGAAAGTTTGTGATGCTGATCATTAGTTGTTGTACCGGATAGAATGGTAAGTGTCACACAGGAGGTAATAAATCAACCAGGTTTTCAGAAACAAATGCATTAATGTGACTTTCAATTCGACCACGTAGCACGGTTGGACCAAAACGATTTCCAATAGATTTAAGGCATTCCGATGCAGCATTAACAGCCAGCGGTAACTTGCTTTCTACTGCGGTTGCCAATACTTCCAGAAACGCATCCATATATTTTTTAAATTGAGGTTTTTCGAGATGATTACACAGCTGTACAATTACATCGCAAGCTGGAAAAAGAAAATCAAATCTTTAGAAGGAAGAAAAATGACACTGCATGTTTCCAATTTTAAGACAAATAAAAATTGAGATAAACGATACTAAGTTTGTGTAAAAAAATTAGATGAAAAAACTTAAATAACGTGGTGCATGTTCACGAACTTAATTATTTTGTTTGCTAAAGTTACAAAACTTAAAGTATACTTAATTGATTACGTTAAATATAAAAATAGATAAAGCACTTGTGCACTGTAGTAAGATCAATCATAGTAGCAAAACAATATATTTTCTAGGATTCTGCCCTAAGACATTTTTATCTCAAATGAATACTTTTGGTTGATTGTCTTCTCTGAGCTGGATTGTTTACTTCTCTGAGATAAGGTTACTACGACGCTGATTCAGCGCTCACAGAGTAGTTCACTTCTACAAGAAGCAAACCCTAATGTTATTTAGATCAACATTGACAAAATTACCTACTTTAGAGGATACAATCAGAACTTTGTTAATTGTCAGAGTTTTAATATATGTAGGAATCCGATGAATTCAATGGTAGGAAAAAATGATTCATTACATGCAATAAACTGAAGCTATAAACGATATTGTTGCACAGAAACACCCAACCCATCGTTCTTTAGTTGCAGCTGAAATTACAGTTTTAAAGATTATGCTTACCAGTTTCTAAAAAATAAGGATAATGTGTATAATTTCGATGTTCACAACCCTTCAATAGTTGCTCAATCAAATCGTCAGTGACTCGGTTTGGGAACTTGTCTGATATTTGACCGATCAAGCGAATTGCGCCATCAGCCTCTTCCCAAGGTTCACTGGCACGTTGATGAAGACCATTATGACAACCACCACCTTTTCGACCTGAAATATTTGCAGCCGTATGTAAATATAGTGAGAAAATATCAACATGGTAAGATTGACTCTTAAAATTTATTTGTTTAGAAATTTTAGTCAAACGACTAAATTGTGATGAGCATAAAAATACAATATAGAATAATATATCTGAACAGTTAGAACTGAAATGTCTATTTTCGTGTGATCCATAATACCATAATAATACCCACCTACAATATACAAGGACACAAAACGAATTTTAAAGTCAAAACTGTCAACAGCTATGGTAAAATTATTACTGGATTGTTAAATTGCCACAAATCAAATATAATAGTTAGTCATGCAAGCCTAGAATTTATCACAAATGTGTATCACTTTAGTATTTAATACATTCGCATCTTAATGTCAATAAACAAATTATGATATAAAAATAGTTTGTGCAGTTGATTTCAAGCATGAAAATCATTCTCCAAACATACATTTCGATAATCATACGGGCTGCAGCTAGAAAATATGCACCTATCAGCACAGTTCTTGTTCAACAGTAAATGGTATCATAAAAATTTTAATAATATTACAGTTGTAGTGAACAAGAACACCAGTGGGGACAATCGAATGTATTTAACACGAAATTACAGGATTTGTTGATAAAATCTAAAATAAAGTAAATGTTTAATTTGCAAAATGTCCATCGACCGTCTCAAAATGGCTCAGACTTCATTGTTCTTGCACATTCATACAAATTTTATTCTGTTTTTATTCTTTACTGTTCGATCCTCTTGTCTCTCTGCTGCCAGACCTTCTGTTCACGACTAACACCATATACTATTCATGTCAATATAAGTAGCACACACACTATTATTTACTATTATGGGGAAAAAAATTTTTGTACTCATGTACTTTTATTTTCTAAAACGACATTACATGATGCAGAAACTAAGTGCTAGAGCGAATAAAAAACTATATGAATTTAATGTTATTCATTACCAGTGATGGAATAATACCTCTGAACTACTGAACTACACTCACCAAGACATGCAGGTAAAAAAGACAAAATCCGTCTCTGGATTTACTGCTTTTTGAGAAAAGTCGTACTGCTGACTGAAGAGGAGTGTGACAGCAGTAAGACGTTTTCCTCGGGCAACCAGCATCTACAGCGACGCTGCCTTCTCACAACGAAGGACGGGGTTAGAAAGGGTCGACCCTAAAATTATCGAACCTTACCTTACCTCATGGATTCCCATCTTCGGCGGTAAGGCCTTTTGAAGAACAGAGCTAACACGTTAAAAACTTCCCACAAAAAGGCCTTGCGCGACCGGCCTCAAGTAGTCGTGCCTTGGGCTCTGTGGTTACGCTCCCAGGTCGTTAAGACCAACAGTAATTTAAGTTCCTTTTCAGGTTCTTCGAGAAATACACTTCCACGGTGTGGGCAACCGGGAAGTGACATCAGCCCTTATACATCTGATACTGAATAAATAAGTATGAAAATATTAAAACTACTGATTGAACAGATGATATTTCCGGTCGCTAGAATGTTTACCGAGAGGTTAACGCGATCAATGACGTGGTCGAGTGGATAGCTGATCATAAGAACGAATTCTTAACTGGAGACCCCGAATGATTTGAAATAAAAAAAGATTACTAGCCCAGTGAATGGGTATTTATCCAACAAAATAACATGCCTATATTCAAAATATGAACACATAAAGAACAGTAAAATGTCATGACTGTGGAAAATTAGCCTACAGATCACTTATTCTCAAACGAATAAAGACCTGTCTGTTAAACCAAATTTTCGGGCATCGTATCCAAAACTGATATCTGTAAAATTAGACTTAGAAAGAGTTATCTCAAAGAGTGATGAGTAGTTAACATACCTTTCTGAAGCTTCGGGGCCAAGGATCCACAGGAGTACATAACTTGATCAGTATGACGACTATCATGAGCAGCATCTCCACTGTGAACAGTAACATGAGATGCTCCTGGTCCCTTCCCAGATACACGACTAGATTCTGCACCATGAGATTCTTTAGGCTGTTTGCTTAATCCATCAATTTTTTCTACGATATGATTGATATAATGCTTGGGAAAATTGATTAAAACGAAAATAACCGTATTCATATCCAATGGTATGATAATGAAATATACAGATTATTAATTATTCTAATTGCCTAATTCAGACCACTGTTAGTGAAAATATGGTGGACAATTCAAAGTGTGAAAACAAATAAACCTAACAACAATATATGATGCAGATTAGCATATTACTAAACTTTTTCACAAACAAAAAATCAAATTCAGTTTTCACCATTACATAAAGGTATTTAGACAGCTTACACTGATACCATATTCTAATTTAAAACCCGAACATTTTGTTAAGTTCCTTGTGTTAATTTTAATCCTCATGTTAAGATGGACTGAGCAAACAGTAAATATTCCCGTTCATTCAATTACTAGATACTCATAAAGATATCAACTGATTTACATTTGTTTACAACATTTGCGCTTAATTTCCTAAAGAAAATGTCCGTCAGATGTAGCCCAAATTGATTAAGCAGATTTAGATAAGTAACTAATTGCTGAAACGTTTAAAGAAGAAGTGTACATAGGTGATATCTGTGTGGGAATTAAGCGTACCTTCAAGTTAACTCCACAAATAAGTTACTGCCTTAGTAATAACTTGTTTGATAGCACAAGTTCCTCCACTAGGATCTAGTTTAAAAAATCTTGGACAGATCAATAAACAAAGTAAACAACCTAAACTACGCACCATAGTACAATCAGGTGGTTTGACATTCAGCTTTGTAAATACATATTTATTCTGAAGATAATTGAGATATCCACAAGAGACAATCAAGATGAAAGATAGGAAAATATGAAAAGTACTTCAAATGAAACTATGAGTGGCGGAATTCAAAAATATGGAGAACTTTACAAATACCACTGATGGGACTGGGTGATAGTTGCGCTGAATGAAGTTGAAAATGTGAAATACTGTGTTTCCATTCAGTGCACAAAGAAGTATCGTGCTCGCTGAGAGATTTGAAGATTCAAAGTTTGGTCGTATGTAGATGTATGGGTCACAAACTAGGAAGAAAGTGATTAGATGTGTCTTGTTATTTAATAGTACCCTAGTTAATATAAGCTTACGATGACAACTAAATAAAAGCTGATCGATCTCCACTAATCCCTTATCTAAAGATATAAATACTTGCTACACCAAATAAAAAATTTGATAAGATTAGTGCAAACAAGTTGGACGGAAGATATTAATACACCCCTACAAGTTGAAAATACTGAACGGAAATTTCGTGCAAAGCCTTTAGTTGTATTCGGGAAGTTGGACCTAGTTTCAGCTGGGAAGAATAATATGACAGCAGATCAAAAAAGGTAAAATTAATTCAATCGGTAGGATATTGTAAATACGTATCCACATAGTAAGTTAATGATTAGTTGGTGTTTAATACTATTAAATTCAAATTATAGAAATCTGGTCATTAATATGACTGTAAATAAATCAAAGGAAAATTAATGTGATGAGATAACAGTTTGACTTATTTGGGTTGATAAAAATTTTTTATCACCAGTATGTGTTCTTACTACTACTCGTCGCTGGATTTGAAATTTTAATACCAAGCACAAGTAAGTTCAGCATTTGGCAGACATAACAGAGACAGGTATCACGGAAAATTCAAACATCAATATATGGACACAAAATATAGAAACAGAGAAAATTACTTGGAATAAATTTTGATCACCAACTGATTTTAAAATCGCAGCAATCGATTTAGCTGCACCATCACGGACTGATGGAATACTATCACTAAGGTTTCGTAAGAATTGTGTAGCCATTAAATTATCGTAGCCAGCCGCGCGTGTCTCATTAGGAAAGGTGGAAATCAATGAACCAAGTGCAACACAGGCCGCATCTCTTACTGGCCAACTTTCATCTCCAAAGCATACAATTAAGGCATCGAGCAATTTACTGACACACGGTAGTAGCAAATTTGGATCTAATTTAGTTACAATCTCAGCCATAGACGCACAAGAAGCCTCACGAACCTGAATATAAAACAAAAATCTGTATCAAAAATCTTTAGTACAAAGCGTGAAAATGCTTGATTGTGGATCTGCTCACGAAAGAGAATAACAGATGTTTATTGACTAATATTTCAGTGAAGTATAAAATCCGTTTTAAACTCTATTAACAAATTTAAACAATGATTGGAACAAAAAAATCTATTCATATCAGTATACAGGCTTGTGAAGACAACCATTGAAAACCTGGTAGCATTAGACGACCGTTGTTTCCTAGCATGGGACTCAGAAGTGTAAATTTACGATTCCGCTATTGAAGATCGAACCAAAGACCTTCGTCATCGCGTTTAAATGTTAAACCTCTAGACCATTGAGCTAGGATTTAACAGAGTTAACGTCTAACTTCAATCAAATCACGGTATTGAGCAATCACCTGACACCCGATACGGTTGAAATTCACTAGTCACAGCTTTTCACTATAACTCCGCCAATTGCATCCAGAACCCAGTCACCGGTGAGCACATGATTACTATTTGTAAAGACTAGAATTTTCAGATTTTAAATCACGAACAAATATTTTATTTATTTGAACGCGTAAATGTTGGCACATAGAGGCACCAAATACACATGCGCCACACAAGTCACTTGATTTGTGTGTGGACTGTGATACTGCCCGGGTGCTCAGACCCAAGCAGGTGGTTTCCCTAGAGGGTCACCCCCCGAGCCTTCAACCTAAAGGACTGATTCACAAGGCAGTGGATCAACGTCAGATGTAGTCCCATGGTAGTTAATGACCAACAATTGGCTTATACGCCATTTGTTCCTTCAGGATCCTGGAGCCCATGTGCAAAATTGTTCTGGAATCCGGGTTTTTCAACTCCCCTAGGTGGACCCACCAACCTGCTCTTCGTCCTCTCAATTTCACAAACAACACCCCCCCTGGAGAAGAGAGTGAGTAGGACTTCCCTGGCAGATTTCGTATACGCGTGGCCATGTGAGAGCATTTGAAGGAGGAAGGACTCTCTCCACCCTCGGCCGTACCAGGGGGGACGGACAAATATCAGCTAGACCACGAATGAAAACGTGGACACACTGGACGACCGTTCCATTTTAGTTGGATAGCGGTGTGGTGGTTTGATGGTTAGGCGTTCACATGTTAGAGTGAGAGTTTTGGGTTTGATTGCCTGATGTGGGATGGTGGGTGCGCTGATGAGGTGTCCCGTACTAAGACGAAACAGACGTACAGGGTTTGTAGGTTTTTAATGGTGGCCTAAGATTTTTCATAGTTTAAACTCCACAAAAGCTTATAATTTAGGGATGTTGAAAATAAGATTACTCGTAAGTATGCAGAAATATCATAACTTTGACTCCTGTCACATTTTTAAAAAAAATAAACATTGCTTATTGAATCACTGCCATATCAAAACCTCAATCTTACTATTTCATTTAGAACTAAGAGAGTTCCCAAGGTTCCTTGTATATAACTTTGTTAACAAATGGACACTATTAAGAGGCGTCTATTAATTAATGGCATTTAGAAATGATTAGGTACTTAAACACAATTAATGGTTTATTCGTGAAAATTTAATTAATCAATTAACCAGTGTTTAAAAATATGGTGTATTTCATTTTACAACATTGAAGAGATGTTAACAGGAATACATATGTAAATTTAGCCGTTAGAAGTTTACTCATGAGTTTTAGCATAAATACTACTACGAGTGAGCAAGATCGATTTCTTTTAAAAGGAAAAAGGAAAACATATAAATCACCAATTTAGCTATATTTCTTAATTGAAGGAGTTAATCTATTGATTTTGTAAATATACACTTACTAAACTAACGCTAATTAATGGTCAAATTCACCAATTACAAGGATATATATGATATTGTACATTTGGATGTTGTTTTTACTATTTAGGAATCAGTTGTAAATCAGTGTTGGATTTAATGGTTGGTACATAAATAAATATTAATCAACAGCCGTGCATTCTTTTTTGCGTCAAGTCAAATGCCTCACCTTACTTTACCCTACAGACCCCCATTTCCAGCGGTAAATACTTCTGAAGTAGCAAGCTAACATAACGAATACTTCCTACAAAAATACTGTGACCGGCCACAAGTAGTTGTCTTATATGCATTGTGGTCACGCTCCCAGGTCATTAATCCAGTTTCCTATTCAGGTCTACCAAGAAGAAATATCCTTCCGCGATGTGGGCAAAGGAGAATTGAAAACTCGCCTCATACCTTTTATAGTGCACGACATCACCTCGTTTATAACTAAACCCCATTTTCATTACCATTATCAACTGTCACCTGTTTTCTAATTCTTCATAATGGACAACTAGTGTTAACGATTGGAGCTAAATAAATTCTATCCTTTCTTCTGAAAATGCGCTTCAGACTACATGCCAGAGATTTTAACACCCGAATCCCATGTCCAATAGGAGGATACGTGTCACTAGCTGAGACAGCAAAGCCTCGTGCTATTGATGCATGTTGTATTTCCGAAACATGCATCTAAGATCACAGTATGGTCATTCACTTTACCTTATTTTTCGTGTATTTTGAGACATGATAACTCATGGTCTTGTCGGTAGAACTATAGCACTAAAATCAGTCTTATTCTATTGAACAGGTAACAATTTACTTTTCGGACATGCCAATTGCAGCATTATTCAGGCCTTTACCAAGTCTTTACGCTTTCGATAAAAAAGATTTCAAGGAGTTGAAAACGATGCTTTTGGGTTGTCAAAATGAATGAATAGAAAGCTGAGTGATAGGCGACGTGCAACGATACAATGTGGACGCGACTGAATTACTGACGAGAGCCTTCAAATGAATTAATATCCAAAGAAAAAAGCCGAAACAGTTATTCCTAAAGTAAAATATACAAGATATTCGTTATGAAAATACGTGTAATCAGATGTCATAAGCGACCAGAGGATATAAATTTTGTGGGTTGTTTACCTCTCAGTGAATTAAGACATGAGAGTAAGCGCAACTTTTCCCCACTAAATATTCTTTCATAAAGCTATATTGTGAAGTAATAGAGCACTTTTAGCTTACGTATATGTGATCGTGCATTATCTTATGAAGATGTTTTAACGGAGAAGCTTTAGTAATATTGAACGACACCATAAAAATACACACAAAAAGTTCACTATAACATATTACAAAAGTAGGTTACCATAAAAGATTGGCAACTTACCGCATGATTATCGGCATCACTTTGTTGAATGTAATAATCGACAGCTGGAACTAAATATTGACCAAGTAACTTTCGACCTTCTCCTTGAGTAACACGACACCAAGTATCTTGACTATAAATCCTGACGCCTTCAGCAACGTAATATCTGTTTAAACACATAGCTGGTAAAAGAATAGGGTAAATATCATCTCTGGTATATCCAGAGGGAGGATCAACCTCAAAAAGAGTTCGTACTGCTCTGGAAGCGGCCATACGGACCTAAAATTGCAGTACGTTTCACAAACAAAAAAACTTAAGGAAACCTATTTCAGTTGAGTAATAATAGCGAAATTTCGTACATGAAATAACCGAAATCATACAAAACAAACAGTGAGTATATAGGAATACCTAAATCTGCAATGTTCATTTTAAACAGAACCATAACCTTATGTTTTCGAGCTGAATCTGAAAGTGTAGAGCTGTAGAGCAAACTCTTCCATTTTTTACTGTAAGAAATGAAACAGCGATAACTGATAAGAAGCTAAATTTTTTAACTAAACATTTTATTTTGCGGATCACTGAGGGAGTGCACAGTTTATAAGCAAATGTCTTGTACAAACTAAACGGAGGTACGACTTTATGGTTTTGTAGTTTTAAGTTAAGTGCATTTGCATAAAGTAGTAATTCAATTCAGTTGACAAGTGCGTTTAAAAATAGGTTTTTAGGTAACACTTTTCTTTAAAGATCAGCAACAATATTAAACCAGTTAAACCAAAGAGTGGACAGTGTGGAACAGAGGCTAAGTAGCTGATATTCAAACTTCTGGGAAACAAGATGCCACCACAGAGACCGCGTTAACTTTATGGAGCCATGGAAAGTACTTTACTACCAACAGTTCAGTTGGAGAATGATGTTCTAGCTAGTGAAGTTGGTACAAAACTTAAAATCCTCAAAAGTCAAAATATCTATGACATGCTTTGAACAAATATGGAGCCCAAAATTACACTTGAAACATCCAAATTTTCCAAGAAATAAGCTCTCATCACTAAAGATTACAACCTTGGAAATCAACGCAATGAAAATTGGCAAATATATACATACTTGACTCCAATTATCTGATAAACCCTTAGCGAGTTGAGTTGCAACGTTGATATAAGTTGCTTCCTTTGCTTCTGGCTCCGTGTAACATAAATGACGAGAAATCATTGTTGATAAAACATCATAACCTGTTTCACGAACAAAACGATTGACGTGCTGAACAGCTTTAAAAATAAGTTCCAAAATAATAGTTCTATCCACTTTAATGAAATCCTTGGATGGAAGATTTGAAACCATTTCCTGTAAACACTTCATCCAAGTTTCCAAGTTTTTCCAACCTGCTGTATCATGGAAAATAGATAGAGAACTGCTGCTCAAATTAGTACTGCATTCCTATAAAAACATCAGCGATTAAAGAAAGCAGTTAGAATTTACTAACCTTAGCTAAGTTGAGCTCTCGTAGAGATAACTCAGCTTCAGATACAGGGGCTTCAGTATTTCTTTCTAAATTAGTGACGACACCTTGAATTACAGTGGGTAAGTACCGGATGAACAAAGATAATCCAGCATGTCGACAGAGAGAACCCATAAGTTGACCTGCAGCTATCCGAACTCGGAATTCAGGGTTATCATGACATTCAACTGCTTGATCTTCTAATTTACCGACAATACCAACATCTACCAGAGATCGATAATCGACATTGCGAAGTAGGATGATAGCTGCGGTGATCCCACCAAAGACCTGGCAAAAATTAGTAACAACAACTACTTACGTCTTCCCAATTAGACAGCCCTTCCAACTTTTCTTCTATCCAACTTGACACCAACTTAACTTCGTCAGATGTTAGTGATATGTTATTTAGCTGATCTTCGCCTTTTTCACGATCAAGCTTCTTGGGTGCACACAGAAGTTCCAAAGTTGATAAGAGATTAGTAGCTTCCATTGGCTGAATTGCGACCAAACTGGAATAAGACATTTTATAAATTGTAAGCTATTACGAATGTCACAGTGGATTTCGTTACCTCTAGTGGTGGATTTAAAGACGATTTTTAAAAAATGTTAGACAAGCGATATACCATAGTAATGAAACTAAGTAGTGTTGAAAAAACATTGTATATGTTCAGTGTCCATTAACCGTATTTTGATGCTTTTCTGTAATTAGTACCTTAGAGTAAGGCATTTGTAAGGATATTAACTAGAAAGATTAAAAATAGTTTGGGAAGTTCATAATCGTGACGAAAACAGATAGGATTCAAACATACCTGTTTCGTGATAGGTCCCCTCAGTCCGTTTTGAAATGTACCGAAGCTACTAAAAACAGGTGATAAAACATTCCAATCTTGAGACCCTAAAAATGTACTTCGGTAGTGCAAACATTGCAAATACAGTTGAGATATTTCGTATTTAAAGATTAAGCACGACAATGATGGTGACCTACGGAACACATGAATAAACATGGGGAACGTAAATCTTACATAGTAAAATTAAGTCATGCATGAATACATAAGATTACTAAGTTTCGAAGTTTGATGATCAGCAAGCGTCCGTCTCCTTAGACTTTAGGTTAATGATGTTTTGCTGAACACAAAAGTATAGATCAAAAGCCTATAATGGTCTTAAAAATAAAGGAACTGGGAATAAACAAATTAGAGTATAGGCAGTCATGTGACCAACCTACATCGCGAGAAAAAATCCCAAAGAAAACGAATATATGATCGGTTACAAAGGAACTGACGCTATTATACTAAGAAATGAAAAATAGACAGACGAATGCACACATTCCGCCGTCAAATCGCTTTAGACATATTAATAACCTAATAACCAGCTGATACCAACTGGTGACATAACTCCTCAGGTTACCGCTTGAACCGTTCTTCATATACAAATACTAACGAACCAGATTCAAAACGGATGTTATCAGAGTTCGGACGCAATGAATTCATTGGATTAATCCAAACGCAGATGGCAGAAACCCTATATTGTAAATTACCGCTAGAGTTCGTTCTGCACATAAAGGTTAGAAAATTGTAAGCCAATAGACTAATAGATTTCAAAGCATTTTAGCTTTTTGTGTCAAGTCAGAAGCTACTTTCTGTATTAGGAGAGCATGCAGAGTAGCGTTAAGAGGGCAGGAAAAAATGTAGGCCAACGATCCAGTGAGCACACAAGGAGTCTACATTTATTAGGTAAAGCAATCAACAACGACCAGAAATGACACAAGTTTCAGATTAAGACAATCTGGTAGTCGAAACGAGCATGCACATTCAATATCGCGCAGAAACTGAATCGCCCACATAACACTACCGGTATTATAAAACGTTTGTTATTCATGTTGATGTTGTTTGTCCGTTTTTGATTTTTTCATTGACAAACATTGTCTCTCGATCAACTGACAGACCGTTGAAAGTCTATAAACACAAGTGCTTTATAAATAGAAATATTGAGCTCCATGTGATGGATGACGACATTTTTACTCGCTGAGTTAAATTTATGGTTTCGATAGTTTATTATGCATTCGCAACATTCTTTGCACTTTGATAAATTTAATTTCAGTTAAATTAAAGCCATTTTCGAACGTAATTTTGTATCTGTCATCTTAATGAGTACATCGGGCTACTTTGTGTTTATTACACTCTTGGATCAAACAGTTCACGGTACCACTTCTCTGGTTATTGTTTTTTTCCAATTTTTTCTGTGTGCGAGTCATTTGAAAACCTCTGGTTGATGACTGGATAGTAAAAAGGATGCAGTTGCCAACCGTCTGGCTGGCGATAACCTCTGTGAAGTTCCATGCAGTACGTTAAGTGCAAAGGACAGTACCACTGAGTTCGCACGAATCTAATACCTGCGATTTTCAAACGACTTATTGAAAATCTATAAGCGTAATTTTACTTGCAATGATGCTCAAATGTGTAGTAGCTCTGTAAGTTTTCGATGTTTGATACTGGCCTCATTAGTTTTACTGGACTCACATAGCTGAAGGCACTCCATCAAGCATTAGCACCAGATCACGATTGTGTACACCGTTCTACGCATCTCTATCAACTACTAGCCATTTTTTACCAAGCGTTACTCGACATAACAATAGCTTTCCAAATACATCTTCGGACCCCTTTACTCCTGATTTCTGATTTGGCTGGGTTGGTATACCCCTTTACAAAATTGTTACTGGTTAAGGTGTTTTCCAACTACAAATGTTTGTGACGTCTTTAGATGCAAACAGCTTGTTATCCGCGGCCATTGTAAACATTAACGCTGTTAAAAAGCATATCATCAAACACGACCGAGACGGATACAATGGTACTCGCTGTCGACACACAAACCGATGTTCAGTCATCACAACTCAGCTCAAAGTCGACTGTCTGGCTTATAGCAAAAGATGAAGCACTGACTTCAAAAAGGTCTTTCAGAAATAAAAACTCAAAGAGGGAGACTTCCTCGACGCTATCCTCTTAATGGTAGCAGTATGGAACTATCTGAAAAACCTGGTCGTAAGGCTAAGTGCGGTTCACGCAGGGAAAAACAACCTGGCCACCTTGATTATCAATGATCAGCCACAGTCTTAGTGTGTGTAACTCATCTGTGACCGCTAATCAAGATGGATACAAATCAAGAATAAGCAACGACCTAATGTTGTTTACCGAAATCCAATCTCCCTAAAAGTAGTTGGGAAATTAGAACCTGAACACACTAATATGTGAATCATCTTTCATGGCGTCCAGGAGAGCGAAGGATCTGGGTCCAGAACTCCCGTTAAGTATGACATTGAATTGGAAAAAAGCCTACTTCGCCGGCTTATGCCTCTATATATAATTGGCATCACACTACTGAAGGTTTGTGAATTAGGTAGTCAGCGGACTTCAACGCAGGTCAAACCAAGCAGCAAAAATTGAGACGCAGTTCTACAGTGTTGAGACTACCTGAAGGGATCAAGAGATGGTCCCGCAAGACCTTGTCGCACACGGACCCTATAGAAAGGCAATAAGCTGAAATAGAACCGAAACTAAGTTTAAATGCTGAAGATAAGGACATTAGGATTGTGAAGATTTGGGCGGTGAGCTCTCGGTAGAGGGTGACACTAAAGATACTTTAGGTAGGGCACGAATGTTCCTTGGACCTGTTGCACAAATTACCAAAGCTTGCTCAACAAGCAATGGAAGCCAGGTGTAAATATAGACTCTATCAAGTCAGATGTAATCGCCTTCACAGTAACTAGGCTGATGCAGTCTGTAAACAATTAGAAAATTTGATTTCGAAAATTCCGTATTGTTGAAAGTCGATATAACCCACGAGTTTAAATAGAGAATTAGCTGCATTAATTTGTAATACTATTCCTTTAAACATCATCTATAATATCCAATGAAAGTAGGACGTGCGAATAAGTTAGCTTGTAGTAGCATGTGATCCTAACCACAATCCTCAAAGCTGAATATGAGATAACTGGGAAAATGGACTTTCAAAGTGTAACACTAAAATAAGGTCAATAATGGTGGACGCAATAACATTCTTTCCAAATTCAATTCATCGTATGGTATGACTAGGCCGTTCAGGAGTGGTCATATTTATGTAACATCACTTTTATCATATTAAAACTATTGTTCTGTCTCCAACCTAAATGTGTTCTGCACCATATGTTGGTGATTGTTACAATACGATGAGTTAGTGTAGACAATGATGTGAACTCCATGTAAGATCTTATATATTAGGCATTTATATCGTGACAAATCTGTATTTTGAAGATTAGGTCCATTATTACAGCAGTACTAATAACGAAGTAGATCATAATTCTACAAGCCGCAGCTTGAAATGCAAAGAACAAGAGATGCTGATTGATTCGGTGTGCAGGAGTTCAAATTGTGGTGTGAACGAGGTCTCGCTCGATGGATTCATACATTGGTCTTCAAGTTGTCAATGTTTAATATGGGGAGAATTTAGTGAAGTTGTGACAGACTAGGTCTGTTGTGAAGTAGTAACTCAGTGAAGACAATAGTGGATGTGTCTCTCGATTTCGTGGATTTGTTGAAGTTAGACATTAACACCGTTGGATGCCGGCCCACTGGTCTAGCGGGTAAGCGCTCGCGCGCGAGACGGATAGGTCCGGGTGTAGTGAACAGAACACCAATGCAAACAATCGAATGTATTCGACACATAAAATTACAGAACTTGTTAATGAAATCTAACAACCATATAGTAAATGCTCAATCTGCAAAATGACCATCAATTGTCTGAAAATGCCTCAAAATTCATTGTTCTTGCATTTTCATACAAACTGCATTCTGCTTTCATTCTTTACTGTTCGATCCTCTTCTCTCTCTGCTTCCAGACATTCTGTCCCTGACCAACGTCATAAAACACTTGTGTCGATATAAGTAGCACACACCATACCGGGTTCGAATCTCGCGAAACGGGACCATGGGTGCGCACTGCTTAGGAGTCACACAACAGGACGAAACGGCCATCCAGCGCTTCCGGGTTTTTCACGGTGGTCTAGCTTCAATTGACTCATGATCTCAATCATTCAAATTACAACAATATTCACAAAACCCATTCTAATATGGAAACTGAACTGTTAAACAGTTCTATTAAAGAATTTAACTGATTCCCTAATTAAATGTGCCTCGGTGAAGTATATGATAGACACAACAGGGTACGATTAGGACTCCGAATCACCTTCACCCGTGTTGACCCATCATAAACCTCGGTAATATGCCAACTCTAGATAAGAATTATCACGCTATTCTAGTTTCCACGTAATTTTCAACGTATATGCGTTAGCTGAAACAAGACCAAACGCTTGAGAAGAAAATCTAACAAATTTATATCTTCAGCACTCAATGAAATTTGTAACAGAACGATCATCTCTTAATAAAACACTCAGGAAGGTGTTCAAAAATTGTATATTAAAGTTATTGCAATACATATTCCTTGGACTATGTCAAGGAAGACGAGAATCTCTTACACCATGTTCCAGTTTCGAGGTTCGCACCCGCCTCTTTGAGAAACAAACAAGGCGAGAGAGATTTGGGTTATTATTCTCTGGTGAGACGAAACGGGAATGTTGGAAAGCCAGAAATGCGTTTACCTCAATCATACGCAAAACTAGAATATTGTATGAAGAAAAGCTTGTTAAGGAGTCAAAATAATTCCCTGGGCACTTATATTCGTACAGAAACCGAAGGTTTAAGGGGCGATTTTCTAGCATAATGAAGAGTCACTTTTACTGTGGTGGTATTTGTTCTAAGGTCCTCGGAAATGCACATAAGATAACTGGGAGAATTCACGTTCAACATTTGTCACAGAGAGGTCGGAAATGGTAAACGCGGGGATAATTGAGCGAAAATGATATGATTCGGTCATGCAGATACGGCCACAACAGACCTTGCCTTATGTATCAAATATATTCATATCTTCTCAGCTCAAACGTGTTCATCAGAAATGCTAGACGTCGAATTGATCA